TATTCTATTTTCATGCCTTTTTCATTTTATTTTTTTAAACTTACGAGCTTAGCGAAGTGAGAAAATCTCGACCTGTAAAATTGTGTGAACCCATCTCACCGCAATTGGCTCGAGAAGAATGGTAGCCTGTTCATTCTTTTAGCTCTTTTCCACCGAATATGAATGTCATTTCAAACGCATAAATTGAGCTGCGATTGGTCATTTGTGAAACCCATTTTTAAGTGCATGTATTTGTATAAAGTGGTGAGGTTTAAAAAATCCATTCTAATGAGTGTTAAATTTCCGAGGATTTTTTTTATTTATGATAAAAAATTTACAATCTATTTTTTTACAAAATAATAAGTAAATCTGATGTTGTAGAATTGTTATGACAATGAAATTTCCAGTGAAGGTATCTCATCGGTACTCTTCATCTCTTTCTTCATACTATAACAAAAAAACAAGTATTTTTTTTCGGTTGGCTGCAAGTGGGATAGTTTATTAGCTGAGGGTAATGTTTCAGTTATTTGTTGAGAATCTATATGGGAGTTGTAGGGGTGAGGTTCTGGTTAATCGATGGATATCTGCACTATTGTCTAGTATGTTGAGGGCTAGGTGGTTTGGATGGTTTTTCAAGTTCTGGAGATAGTTTTTGAGCTGATAAGTTCTTTCTTTCCAAGACAGTGGGCATTTTTAAGTCCTTGTGCAGTGCGGATTTGTGATGAACCATGGTGCTGCCGCGATCATTCTTAGGGTCTTGGACTGAAGTCTCTGGATGGATCGATGAGATTTTACTCTTGCTTGCTGTGCCCCAAGATTTTGGATGCCGTAGGTCCATATTGGGATTATGATAGCTTTATATATCAACAGTTTGTTTCCAGTGATAGTTTTGAGTGGTATCCTAGTATCAGTATAGTTTTTCTCATTTGAAGTTGTAGGTGCTTTTTTTTTGCTAAGATGTGATGCTTCCATGTTAGCCGTTTTTTCTAGATGTATTCCCAAGTATTTTACACTTTCATCTGTACTATTGGATTGTTGTTGATGTGGACAGTAGGGCATTTGTTTTTTCTCAGGGTAAAGGTTATATGGACTGATTTATTTTCGTTGATTTTAATTTTCCACTTTTTGGCCCAATCTTCAATCATTGTGAGATGTTCTTGTAAATGTCTTGATGCGACATTAGGGTCGTCATCCGAAGCTAATATGGCCGTATTATCTGCAAAAGTGGCTATGGTTGTTTTTATCTGATTTTTGGTATATCAGTAGTATAGAGCTGGTATAGGATGGGCCAAGTACACTACCTTTGTGGTACTCCGGCCTTGATTGGATGAAATTCAGATAATTCATTGTGAATATTTGATTTGGAAGGTGCGATGGGATAGAAAAAGATCTGAATAATGTTGAAGAAGGGATATGGTAGAAAATTCTTCACTTAAAATAAGAGTCCATCGTGCCAGACTTTGTCAAAACGCTTGGGCAATATCTAGAAAGGCGGCTGGAAAGTATTCTTTTCTTGGAAGCAGTTCTCAATGTAGTTGGTGATTCTATTAACTTGTTCGAGGGTAGAATGCTGTTGTCTAAAACCAAATTGATGATCAGGGACTAGGGTTATTGGTTGCAATGTGAGGACCGTATTCTTGATAAAAAAGTTCTCAAATACTTTGGATAGAACAGAGGAAGTATACTGATGGGCGCGGTAGGAGGAGGGTTCATGTGGAGTTGTTTCCCAGGCTTGAGAAAAAACTTGAATTTGGGCTACTTTCCATTGCTCCGGGTAGTGCACTGTTCTATAATACTGTTGAATAATGCAGTATTAATAGTCTTGCCTTTTCGTGGTAGTTTCTTTGAGAAGAGGTGTTGTGATTAAGTCATAGCCAGGAGCTTTTTTGTTTGGATAAGGCATTAATGGGTTTTGGTAAATTTCTCTGGGAAGGTGAATGCGTTGATTGACGAAGGTAGTTTGGTTTGGGGAGTTGATAAATATCTGTTGTTGTGTGGTATTATAATGGGATGAGTCTGGAATCTTAGCAAAGAAATTTGGCAAAGGTAGAGCCGCTTCTCTGTGGGGTTTCTTGCCCCAACACTTGTTTTCGTCCCTGACTGGGGGATTTGATTTGTCGGTTTTTTTAGCTTCCCGTGTGGCTTTAAATAAGGAGTAGTTGCTCTCTCTGTTGGGGTAAGGTTGGTTATGAAATCTTGAAACCTGTTGTTGTTGAATTTCCTTTAGGAGGCATTTTAGTTGTCCTAGTTGCTTTTTGTAGTTGTACGGCGTCTTCAGGATTTTTGAAGTATATGCCAGATTCTTCTTAGTCTTCTTTTCTCGGCTATTTTGTCAAAAAGAACTTTTGGATATTTCACGCCGCCTTGGGGGTAGTGAGTTGCGTGTAGCAAGTCCAAGCTGCTTCTTGAAATATTTGTATTATATATCCAGTCGCTTCGTCTATGTGGTAGATAGTTTATAGTGGTAATTCGGATGTTTGTTTTCATAGATTCGTGTTTTCTATACAAGTTCCAGTTTTTGTCTTTCTGTTCGTTAGTGTGATGCGGGAGAGGATTGTAGAATACATTTTGTTGCCGACTGTGATAATTATTGGAGTATGGTCTGAGGAGAGTTCGTGGAAGATTCTATGATATCAGTTAGTGGATGGGATTCTTTTGTTTATGAATATAATATACATCTGGAGTTTTGCTGTTGTCGGTAGGCCAGTAGGTAAGTTTTCTCCTGTATAAAATGGTTTCTAGCTGGATGTGAGCGTACTGCTTCAGCATTTTCTCTCCCTCTTGGGGTGATGAGCCTGGATCCCATATTGCGTGTGTTTGCATTGTAGTCTCCTCCCACCATGTACCTATTTCCTAGAGACTTAAAATGAGTTTCAAATCGTTGTTTGTCTATTTTGAATCTGGAGGGCAGTAAATGGCACTGATGGTAATTGTCCACTCCGGTCGCATAATTTGTACAGTCGTTGCTTGAATATTCCTGTTCTCTGTACGCTTCCTGTTCTTGATGTTTAATAGTACTTTTTATTAATATTGCTGTGCACCATGAGCATTGCACTAGGGTGTTTAGTATCGGTATAAAGTGTAGTTCTTCAGTTTAAAGTGCTTCTTTCTGTGATGAAGATTCAGAGATGAGTAGCTGTCTATTTTTGTTTTCGTTGAGAAATATTCGATTTCTTGGCGATGATTTGCCAGCCGTGGCGTTCAAGCTGCAAATGCGAAGGAATTTAGGCATTAGATAGTTTGGAGACAAGCGACGTTATGAGGTTAATGAGAGAGTTTATTTGTTGACTTTGCTGCATTAGTATGTTTTCAAATCTCTAAAGGAGTGCTGTATAATATTATAATGGGAAATGGCTATCGTCGTTGTGTGATGTCTTTCTACAGGCTTTGATCGCGCAACATCGGCCCATGTTCCTCTGCATTTACATGTCTGCTTCTTGAGTTTCGTGACAATAAGTAGTTTCAATGTTGCTGTTTTTGTGTCTGCACATGCATCTCTTGTTGAAACATTCTGTGTTTACTTGAGTTTTTGTATCTTTCCTTTTTAGTATTTTCTTGGTATACTTGGCAACCTTTGTAGTTGGCGGGATGATTGCCTTCAGCACAGAGCACAAGTCCGGTTGACTTTGCTTTTCTTTAAACACTTATCTGGGTCATGTTTCTTTTCCACATTTAACAACACCTATACGGGTATGCACAGTACGACCTGGTATTTCATATCTCTGACAGTTTTTGCATTGTACTATCTCGCGTTTCAAGCGTGGTGGTTCGAAAGCAACTACACAATTTAACAGTCGGTTAATTTTCAACACTTCTTTATTGTTAGGTTTTGGGCTCAAGGTCTACAAAAAATAGAGGTAGAGGTGATTTTAGTTAGTCTATGGCGGACATTAATAATGTTTCCTAACTTTGTGGGTCTTTTCCAGAAGCGCAGCCTTGATATCTTTTACATCTACCGTATGATGTAGTGTCGCAAGACAACTCTTATACGCACGTTCTTGTTTCAACTGGTATGTATAGTATACGTGACTGTTGGCTGATTAAGTGTTTTTATTTCCCTGTAGGTGTTTGGAGTTTTCGGGCGTTATTTAATTTTTGTCGTTTGCTAGATATTTTTTTATTTAAAATCTTCTGTTTTTAAGGCTTCCTTTAAAAACTTGATCATGGCTGGAACATTATTCACATTTGGCACGAAAATTGGAAGTACAGTGGTTTTTGGCAGAGTTTCCTCATTGTTTTCTGTTGTGCCTTCTATATCAAGAGCACTGATTGATTCTTGGTGGGAACTGTATATACACTAGTATTGCTATCGCAAGACGCTGTCTTTTCCCTTACCCTTCTATTAGCATCAGGGTCGAAGACGTCAGGATTTGGCTTTTTGACCGAGCTGGTGTGTATATTTGCCATACATTCTGCGTCAGGTTGACGGGAGCAGATGAATCATGATCCATGCCGTTGCTGTCGCTGCCTGTTGATTCTTCGGATGGCATTCCTTGAAGTAAAACAGCTTTCCGGGCGTCAAGTAGCATGCAAATCGCACTAACATGCTTTCTGAATCCTACCCGAAAGTACTTCGGTAATTGACTGAGTATTAGTATAGTTGTCTTTTGTTAGGTTGATTTGAATATGAAGAGGATAAACACCGTTATGATTTACAATGTAACTGTTCCTTAGAGCTAGTGCGCACTGCTATTATCGCGAGACTTTTCCTTTATCTTGGCGCCCTCGCGGGCGAGCAAGGTAAGAACACTACGGAGCTGCGGGCACGATCCGCACACCTCAGCGGTCAGCGAGTACTGATGAATTTCCGAAGGATGAAAAAATGTTCTGTTCGCAGCTGCAAGAATACGGACAGAATGCGCATTTTCACTCGCTCTCGCATTTGTTTTCATCCCTCTTTCCTTCATCAGCAGAAAGCAATGAAAGTCGCCATGTCGTACGTTGGCTCGGAAGCGTTATTCGTGCCTGTAGAGGTGACGAGGGAAGACGAGTAAGAAGAGATGGCTTTTGGGTGGTTGCAGGTGATGGTGTCGCAGCGCTCTAACAGAGACTATGGAAACAGAGGGATGGGCGTGCTCGGGACCAAGTGGTCAAGTGGTGTCGCCAGACCGTGCCTCCCTCCGCACGCTCGCCACTCAGCTGTGTTGCCTTGCTGCTGCTGGCCGCGCCAGGTACGCCTTCGCCCCGCGCCGCCGCGCGCCGCCCCGTGCCGCCCCGCCTCTCCCTGCCGCCCCGTTCCGGCCGTTCCATTCTACCCGCCATTATTTTTTTGACAAACAGATAAAGCATATAAATAAACGTAACATGCTTGAAATGCTCTGTAGAGTTTGGTGGTGATTCGAAACATTGTGCCAGTTCAGGTAACTGGGTCAGTTAGTATGTTAAAAAGTGGACTATTCGATACGGTTAATTGAAAGTCAATTTCAATTCAACGGCAAGGAACTGACCTTCGGCCCCTTTAATTAAAACATGAAACATTCTTGAAACAAACAACGCAAACTTTCAAACACATTTTACGCCAAAATACCGATAAGGCTTAACATGATTCGTTTCGTCCTCGTAACTGCTTATAAGTTTGTCTTCCTAAATAAGCCCATTTCACAGTTGTCCCACTTGTCCATTCCTCTCAGTTGTTTGTCAAAATGATACAAGCGCGACACCTGACGCCGCCCGCCCGCGCGCAGCCACCATGCGCACTACTCGTCCTTAATGGGCTCCCATCGGCCGAGTGTAGCTGGCATTGCTAGCTGCTGTCTGTGCATTACGTCTGCCCGGGAGGTCCTAGGGTTCGAGCCCCGACGGTAGCTGTGTGGCTAGGTCCAAGTCAGCCGCCTTCTGCCTGGGGGAGAATTCTAGCGGCCGACTGCTCTGATCGGTCCTTTCGCGCACATGTTTACGCTCTTTCCGGCTGAGGCGGTGCCTCACTGGAGGGGTAAATCGCTCGCAAACTGACGTGGCTGGCCCCGAATCTCACCTTGAGCGGGGAAGGAACACTGCCATCTCTTGCGGTGAAACGTTTACTACACTAACGGGACTGATAATCGTAGCGGTTGAAGTGACCGGAAACACGAATCATTTTAACACGTTCCCTTGTCTCCTTGCCTTACTCTCTTTAATTCTCGTGAGTGGGTGCAATAAAGTTTTGTATGTTTGTTTTGTTTCGACGTTAAGTGACCCAACTTCATTTTAGTTACGTTGTATTCACGGACTTTCCTGATAAGCATTAGGGGCGGCAAGAGAAAATTAAACAGAATGAATGATCTTCTTTACAATAATTTTGAGTTTCATTTTTGCCCCGAGTAACTCATACTTTGAAATTCTGCTTCGGGATCTAATCAATGAATTCAAAGTAGTGAATTCCAATTTTTGTTAGTTTCTATTTCATAATCCTATTGTCTGATTATTGCTATTTAGCTAATGCATTAATTTGTTAATCAGTTTAATTGCATTGTGAATTTAAAAACAACACATAGGGAATTTTAAAACTAATCAACAAAATAGGGGCAGTGGTGATAACGTGATAGTGTATTTTTTTCTCAATTTCCATTGAATATTCTTAATTTTTGTTGTAACCATATATGTGCTCTCTTTACTGTAAGTTAACACGTGTATGTGGTGGGGATTTTTCTCTTCGGGTGAAATCATATAACGTAGTCAAGTAGGAAGATAGGAAGCGGTAGCAGTGTCAGGAGCGTGTCGCCTCATTTATATTATGAAAGAATGTTACCAATCTTGGGTAACCAAACCATCACACGAGAATACAGGGATCAGTATGGAGGTGACCCATGCCGTCGTTATGTTTGTGTTGTGCGACCGGTAGAGAAGGCCAGGCCAATAATCAAGGACTCGCTTTAGCCTTCCTAATAAAACTAAAACAACAAATAATCTTCTTTTCTTTTCGTAAAATCTTTTTAATCTACCTTCCCAATTTCAATGCTTTAAGATGTTGACTAATACTTTCGTTAAGTTTATGTGCAGTTTACTCAAACCAAACCTGTAAATTTCGCGGTAACTCGTAAATTGGTGTCACGTTTTACAAACACACTCCTATTATTTTGTATCCCGTGTGTGTGACGTTTCAAGATAAAGTCCGTTTCTGTTAAGAGTGTGTTTTACAATGAAATATGAAACGAGGCAGATTTTTGCATTAAAACAACTCAAGTAATCAGTGTTTTCGATCTTCCTGTGCTCACAGCTGGTGGTTAAAATGCGGGAACATGCAGCTACACGAGATAAGCGTTTGCATAGGAACAATTTCACTGCACCTGTTGTAATTGCTGGGCCAAATTTTTAAAATTGTTAATTGTATTTCCCTTTGTTTAGCACTCATCATTATACTGGCATTTCCCGCATGAGCAATTCTTCCTGGAAACATATGCAGACCATTCCCTTGAGCATATGTTGCGTCTCGCTCTTTTCTGTACAATGAAAACTGATATGCGATTCTTTAAAGCTGTTCCGATTGCTTTCCGATACTAATTCTCTTAATAAATAATACAACGTTCACTTTAAAAGTGTTCTGAGATGAATGGGACTGTAAATATAGTATGAAAAATCTGATGAAGTGATATTTGCAACGTTGTTAACGGTAAATTTTATTATTGTGACTAACCAGATAAAAATAAAACTCACCATAAAAAATCAATATTTAGTATTCGTTCGCACTCTCGCCCCTTGCAATGTGAATGAAAATTTCTATCCATTTTTTAAATATTTGCACTAAATGTGTTACATAGTGCAAAAATTTATGTAATCAACTATTTTACGCTAAAAGCAGTAAAAACTAAGTAACGTTTGGGTCGGGGAAAAGCCACGAGTTATATTCGGAAGCAAGGTTTGTAACCAGTATTTATTAGCGTTTGTTCAATGATTCAAGGGAAACGAAACGAAAAACACAATCGAAATAGGGGTTAAAATGTTCCTCTGTAAAAAATGTATTCTTCAAATATCAGAAACAAGGAGCAAGAAAAAACAATATGTAATATTATTAATATTACTGTCCGCGGTTATTAAGAATGCAATATTTCGTTAGTGATTCATCGAAAAAATATAACAATGCTAAGTCAGGATATATAAACATATTTTCTGCCTCTCTTGAGAATAAAATTTATTTAAGTCTAATTCACTTTAACAGTCTCTGATTACATTCCCTCTGATCATTTTAGTGTATTAATTATTTAAACAATATTGTCGAAATTGTATTTTAATTTCCGTTGAGTTACGTTGAATTAGGTAGCTCAGAGCGCGTGTGCAGATTGCACTTCTCCCTATAGCACGTCCCGCAGTTTTTAACTGTTTTTTACCTTAAATAAACAAAATTAAAATAAAATAGTGTTTAAAACTTAACTTTTACAATATTGTCTTCTTTCTTAATTAGTTATTTATATGCCCATTGACCCCTGCAATTAAGCAAATTAACTATGATCGTTATCGAAAGCAGAATGCAAGCTTGGGGAAAAAATCAGTAAAAATAAAATGTAAACCATTATTATATGTCATTACGATTGATGCTGTATGCGAGAACAAACAACAAGTAATTAGTAAATGTTGCCCATTAATATTAGCTTAATTTCCTTTGGAATGTCCTTAAGTGGTGATATCGGCAGATCATCTGACGACATCCATATGCATTTCGTTGAGACTGCTAGTACAACGCTCGTCAATAGGCGAGGCAGAGGCAGCGGTGGCTGCTCGCGAAAGGTCACTGCTGCGGCCCAAATGCCAGGAGCACAAAAAAATTGACATTCAGTCGCAGCATTTGTTTGTAAGCAGCCTCTGGCACCACCGCCACTCCCGATCAGTGAGGAGAATAGTTTGTCTTTGTACCCATACTCTTATGACACTCCAGAGCTCTTGCCTTGAATCACTACCAGGAATCGCCGGATAGCCGAGATTTATTTGCCCTTTTCGAAAGAACGTCGCAAGCTACAAACGCAACACCCATCCTTACTAAAATACATTTATAATACATTCCTCGGGCGCCTTGGCTTTCAGACTATGCCAAACCTTCACTTTATCAGGCAGATACCAGATAATAAAATACCCTTACTTTCCATTTCTTTATAACAACTTGATATCGATTTAAAAATGTAGATGAACGAAAACAACTACGTATCCCTGCACGTTTTCTTAATATTTTCTTAATTTTGTAAAAGAGCTGTATTTGGTGGATCGGTGCATTTTGATATTATTCAAATAGAATTTCTATCAAACCTCTTGAATGATTTTGTGGGAATAAAATTCTTGTCTGGTTCTTGTCTAATTCAGTAATATTTTCCTTTCAGTTAACGCTTGTTTTGGAGGGGTATTTAACCAGCCACACGTACCTCATAAATTCCATGGCCGGGTCGCGGGTTGTCGCGCCAAGTACAGACAGTTCCAAAAATTGAACATTCGAATTAAAGTGATTTTCCTCTTCATATCTCAAATATTCTTTTGTGAATTTTGTATCTTCAATAGTCGTAGGCATCATAAACGAAACATATCAGCATATTTTTTTTTAAATTCCTAATTGCGAGATGTCGGTTTAACCGTGGTCGCAAAACTCCTGGCCGTGTGTGTGACTGCGACTGTTCGAATCTTCATCTACAATCCTGCTTAGCTGCTATATGCCAGTGGTTGAATAGGAGAGAGAAAGAGAAAGAGAAAGAGAGAGAGAGAGAGAGAGAGAGAGAGAGAGAGAGAGAGAGGCGCCGCTCTAGTAGTATACTTTGGCAATACGACAGTGGATTAGCACTAAAAGTTGCGAATAAATGCTATCAGAGAGCTCCAAACAATGACTGTGCGCGCACGGTCGCGAAGTCAATGGGCGAGCGCTATGCGCACAAATTTACGTTGGGTTCAAATGGGTTCATTTATTTCTATAACCTGCTTATTGAATATAAAAGTATCTATATTAAAATTACGCGTGTTGTCCGGTGTGCTTAGATTGAGCTGTTAAGCAAAAATAGTTGATGAAAGCGGCGCGCCCTCGCCGCAGAAACGGCTAATCTCAATCACTCGGTCGCATTTCAGATATTTTCAGTACCACTTTCCTTCAACTACGTTCAAGTTGTGATTGATAGAAATTGTACGATTAATGTATTACGATACACATCTATCTTTATATTTTATCCACCATAGGAACATATCGTAATATATACTTCAATGAATTCTTCATATACGATATGTGAATACTTTGATTTTTACATCATACAGGAGATCCCCTTCTAATTTTTGTCGAGTTGTGCTCCTTCCTTCGAGTGTAATGTGTTCGCTCCGTAGATGTTCTACGGGTTGCCTACTCCGTTGCCTACTCCGTTGCCCGTATTCACGTCTGTTCAGGGGAGATCGGCTTTCAGTGGTGCCAGCCACTACTGTCCGTCATTTGCACTCATGTTCTTCAGTAAGCGTCTCATTTAATGACTTGCCCGATGGATTAAATTACTTTGTTCATTTATGAGAGCGCTTTTATTAAAATTAAATCAAAGAACTTCATTTTGCGAAAACACAACACTAAGCATGGATGCTATCTGAACCAATATTTCAAAACGAATAATGGTTCAGGTCATTTCATAAGATTCATCCTCATCAGTTTATTTATTTCTCGTTTTCATTCACCCCTTATTACCCATGTTTCTGCGATATATCGAAGGCAATGCTGTTGCTTCTTCAGCGTCGTTGATCAGAGCCTCCGTCTCGACGGTGGCGGATTTTCGACTCCTAGGGAAATTCTAGCGGCTGGCTGCTCCGACCTTAAGTTTCGACGATCAATATTAGGCTAATGCCGTAGCAGTACCCTAACAAACGAAATAGATACCACGCACGATCTTTCCTTCCTCATCCTTAACTTCTCTCCCCTTACACACTCACACACATACTTATACGGACTACATGTCGGGAGTTCAAAGTTTGTCCCAGAAGGGGCAATGCCCCGCTGGGGGAGATACTTAGAGAAGAAAGCTAACATGCATGTCAGTGCCGTAACTGAGAAACACAGTCACCTCTCGGCATTTAATATGCCCCATACAAAAAAGGATAACATGAAGAAAAACCAATAGGTGCCGAGAAATAGGTGTGCCGTGTTTATGGACATAAAAATAACACATTTTTTCATGAACAAATGAATTGCTAAACGAAAAGAACTAAAATTTTACAACTAGGCACATATGTGAAATTCGACCATTGCCATTTGATCGAACTAATCGTGCTACAACAGCACATACTTTCACATACTGTTTGTATCACACACCGTTACGCAATGTTATAATAGTACTTGAACCTGCAAAACTGTTTCCAATCAGCAATTTGTTTTTTTCACTCCGGAACTCCAGTTCGAGGTTCGTACGTTTAGTACGCCATTCACATTACCTTTGCCCCGCCTGACTGGGAGAATAAACGAACTTCTCGACGCTTTAGGAAGAAAATTAAATATTTGAATTGGAAATTTTTGAAAATTTAGAAATTTTACATGACATTATTTCAACATCTAATTTCGAAGAACACATTTCATTTTTTAAAAACTATAGTAGTCGTTGAAAGAAGTCGAAAAACATAAACTTTTGTAATTTTCGAAAATTCAGAGAGTTCAACGGAAATGAAACCTGTTCCATTTTTATAAACGTATTTTGCTTTATTCGAGGAGAAGACGTAAAAATCTGGAACAATTTTTAGCAAATATGATTTTTAAAATTGCATTGGCGGCTGGACAAAACAAACAAACAGACAGACATTTTACCGCAAACCAATATTTCTGTATCAAGGACTCACAAATCGTTGATTGTGAAAACACAACATAATAGAGGACATAATTTTCTACATGAAGTAGCAAGAATTATCCAAATTTTCGCCATCAGGGACCAACAATACGAGTTTATCTGTAAAAGACGCCACTTTCTACTGCAACATTACTATCCTTTCCCTTTACTACTTGACTATGTAGTTGCCGAGTAGTAAAAACGAAACGCGTTGGTTTTTAGTTTTCCCTCCTCTCAAATCCATTTTCAAGTAATTTATTATTTGTCGAATAAAATTTAAGAAAAGTTTTTCTCCAGCAATAAATGAGCAACAACAGATTTTTCATCAACAATAATTGGCTGGCCTGGAATTAAAGTGGTCTATGAAACATTTTGGCTAAAATCCAGGTTATGGTAAATTTTATCTGAACAGGTGAGCATCTATACGTTGTTAAGTAGTCTATGTGTTATTTGCCGTTGTAGATGCCGCATAATAAAAGTACCACTTTAATATTGGCAGATGGTTTTAATGTTAGTCAATTCTTAAGTGGTGTAAAGTCACATTATGATTCGTATCATTGACCACTTTAGTTTCAGGCTAGCCAATTTACCCAAAGCCTGTGCTTTTCTTTCTGTCGTATGTTATTTGAACCAGTCACTCTCGAGTATTTTTTTGTATTAGGTGTTGTATGTGAGGAAGTATTGACAGAGCGCAGTTTTTTAAGTCTCCAGAAGAAGCAACCCGGCAAAGGCCCGATGTGAGAGTGCAGTCGCTCCTCGGGCAACAAGCCTGGAATCACGACGCGTGAGTCGCTGGCTGTCACTGGCTTTGCGCTCCGTCTGCCCTGGCGGAGATCTGACGTCTGCCCCGAGCGCGGCCGTCGCTTCACTGTGGCCCCTCGACCCGCTCGTTCCGCTCCACACACACCCGCCCCCGCCTCCCCCCCCTGCGCTCGCCCCGCGCCCTCCGCTCAGGGAGTCAGTCTGTTGCAGGCTTGTGCTACCATGATGCGGTCCACATCACCGCTATCCTGGGCGAGTCGGTTGTGTTCAACTGCCATGTGGAGTTCCCGAGCGACCATCCTGTGCCCTACGTGCTCCAGTGGGAGAAGAAGGTAGGCGACACGGTAGGCCCAAAACTCTGTTCTATCTTCTCTCGTGATGAAAGCATTGCCAAACAACACAAAACTAAATTACCTGGCCTTGCAAAGCCTTCGGCGCGGCCGGAGTCCAACGCGCCGACCCTGTCGTGGCATCTTCCGCCGCCACTCCTCCACGGCCTGCGCCCTGCGCCATACAGTCTGCGGAAAATTCACGTTTGAAGCTCTACTCCGTTTGCATCGGGAGCTTCTTGGGAGATTTCAATTGGTGTATTCATCCCTAATGTGCATTTATTTGCAGCTATGCAATTAGAGTCGGCATTTCAGAAGCACAGTGGAATAAGGTACTTTTATCACACACACAGGAAACTCATTTATTGAGTCGTATTTTGTAGTGTATTGAGGACTAAGGAAATTATTTTGCTAAGGCAACATGACGTTAGAGCATTTACATAACTTACACGGCTTTTGTTTTGATTTGACTCTCCCAAGACACCAGCGCTTCGTTTTCCAGTTAACTTTGTATCGTATTGCCGTCTTCGTAACGCGTGCTAATTGCGATTATGGTTAGGGGGGAATCGGTCAGCTCTTTTCCATCGGACCTCAAAAACGCAACCGTTCACAATTTTGTTTCAGGTAGTAGGGCGCGTGACTTGTGCACATCTATTGCGACTGCTTGAACCGAATATAAAGAAGTTCTGCAGTAGTGTCTGAGTTTACGAAATGATATAAAATACTAAAAGATAATATTAAAATACTATTTCTGTAGGAATGATCAAACATAAAATTCGTTTTTCAAAATATTCTACGAGTGATGGTTCACAAGATGCTTGTTACTTACTTGTTTAAGTTTGTATACTAAAACAGGAAACCTAACATGTATGTTTGAAAATATGCGAAATGCAATTTTAAATGCCATGACGTCGTGCTCGTGTGTTTGTCCTTTAGTAATAAGTTCCCGATGTCACTCAGTTCTTGATGATAGAAATTTATATGGAACAAATTGAAGTTGAACTGTTCATTCGATAAGAGAGCTGCCTTCGATTCTTTTTTATAAAATTAAAAAAAAAATGTTGCTTGAAACCGTTTTTTCAATGCAAGATACAGCCTCTGCAGTTTGCTGTGAAGTAAAATTCATTAAAGAGTTTCATGCAGGCGAAGGTATTCTCGTCTTCCCTAAAAATCCGCCAGTTTCACAACAAGGAATATTCCTTCCGAACATGTTTATGAGAATAATTAAATAGATATTTTCATGTGTATATGTTAAAAAGCATAAAAAACATATCAAATTCCATTTTTTCTCTTTTTCTAAAGGTTCCTGTACCATCTTTAGTGGTAACTCCGAGCAGTACATTTTAAACGTTCCGTTGTAACATTTTCGAGAGTACAAAAATATATTTGCCATGACTTATGAATGAATGTTTGTACACACGAGTGTTGAAAACCTCACGTCGAGATTTTCTTGATTTTCATATGTGATATGATAATACGTAATATTTTGAGTTACATGATTCCAGTTTTTGTGTTTAAGTTCCTTGCGATTTCACAGTTCTAAAAATATTCAATTTTGTCCCACGCATTTATACCATTTTGCCATCTAATCGCCTAGTAATTATTCGAAAATACTCTCATTCCATGGTGCAATTCTCATTTCGTAGGTAATAAGAGTAGATTGATATTTTGTATCATGCACGTGTGGGAATTGGACCTTATTCCACTCGCTTGTCGAAACTAAAATGTCTACTCATTTCGGGCCGTTTCGGCAAATGGATAAATGACTTCATTTGATTGACGAGATTTGAATGTTCCATGTAAGACCCACAGATGAAATAAATTGAATCAGTTCAAATCACTTGAATCAAAAGAATGTCATCTCCACTGAGTTCCAAAGGGTGCTGAGCCGATGAAGGCACAGTGGCGATGGGTGTTGGAGTCTGGCGGCGAGAAGCGGACACGGCAGCGCCGGCGGCAGGTCCCCGCCCCTCCGCGGCGCTATGAAAAGGAATTGAATGACCTCGTTACACCTCCCACGCAGTGCTACTGCGCAAGCCAAGCGGGGCTGCCGAAAGACGGGCGACAGCGAAGAGCTTGAAGGCGGCCAGCGCGCTATGCCCCTCGCCTCGGCGCGCCGTGCGCCACGCGCCGCGCGCCACCCGCTGCACGCTCAAGCGCTTGCTCCGGCGGCCACTCAAGGCATGCTCTCCAAAGACGCGGACCGCCTGCACACGTCTCTCCGCGACCAGTGCTCAAGCGTGCTGTGGAAACGACCGTTTGATCAAGTCAAGGACGGGGTGGGGTTGTGTCGTTTCAAAGTCAACATTCGTTTGGAAACCTTTATTTATTCAAAGCATATTACGTATTCCTTAAACTCTAGCCAAAGAACCAGTTGATCCGATTTAAAATATTCACTTTTGTCTTTTGTCCGTTCCTTCGAATAGATCAACCTATTTCGATTCGTTCTGCTGGCTTAGACAAGATTCGATGCCTCTTTCGTGAAAATAGATCTTGATAACTGAAACGACTAGTTTAAGAGCGGCTCATCGGCTTGATTGCTTATAGGCACACGTCAACCTGCCTCTCTTCCACATCGCGCTGCTGTGGTCGCTGTTCAAGCTCTTGGCTTTCGTTCTTGCCGATGCCTAATTTTAAATTTTTATTTTCATATAATCTAATTCTCTTGACGAGTATTTTGAACTCCCATTGGCCTAAGAGGACACCCGCAGCCGTTATCGACCTTCAGGACGGGTCTGAGAGAGAGAACAGAGCTTTATAAAACACTTCCTGGGTTTATAAGAACTTTTACTTGAAATAGACTTATGAATAAGCGAGACGTTTGTACAGTTGGAGGTCACTCGCAGAGTGGCGGTGTGGCACCGACTCGTAGCGTCGTCATTCGTCGACGCGAAGATCTCTTGAAATCGATTCAATCCAAATCATCGTCCTTTGAGTCGATCGGCTCGGACAATGTGAAAAACTACGTGAAGTATTTGCCAGGTAAACCAATAAATTTCTTATCAAACTCGGGATTACAGCAACAAAATGCACACAAGAGTTAAATTGTTCAACACAAGTAAATCATGAATGTATGTTCATGTATGCATTAGAAGGCAGTTTTTTTAGTTCACCTGTCATTGAAAGACGCTTGTTTCACGATACGTTAAAATTGTTCCCACTAAAAATCTATCGGTGTCACAGAGCAGTACTTTCTTCACGCTCAGGCGCTTTGAAATACATTTTGTTTGTTTTGTTTTCAAACAATTAAGAGCAATTTACTCTTTCTGCAAAGCCATCTCCGGTCAGAAGCTTCTTAAACGAAGCCTGGTTGGTCGTGAGCTTCAGAGAGCTGAGTGACAGTGTTCATAAACCGCAACCGCCAGCGTGTCGATTCGAGATGTCTATTCCGAGCCGAACCATATCTTCCACCCCCCTGGAATCTTCATCTGTACAAATCTCGCGCACTTCATAATCTCTTAGTCATATAAGAATGAAGTACAATGAATACCTAGAAATATGATCACATTTCTTTGTAAATATTTCAAATTTAAAAAGTGAATAATTTGCTTTTTCGATACCGAATCAAGTGACATGAGCCATGGTTCATATGAATAAAATGCCAGACGTTCTGTCATAACATTCATTAGTGCTGGCGAGAGTATGGCACACTGCAGTAAACAAGTTCTCATGCAGGATTTTTTTCTTCTCTATTATTTATTTTTTCATACTTTTTCACAAATTGAGTGTGTAATGAGATTTAAGAATTTTAATTTATATGCTTTTCCCATTGCTTTCAAAATACAATAGAAAAACATGTTGTATTAGGCTACCATATATTGCTCAAAACTTTTAATGAAATAATGCTAGAAAGTGAATGTAAAGATAGTCTCAAGTTTCTCAGAGCCTTAAAACTACCTTCAGAACAAATATGGATTTTTTTGGTATATTTCAAATTTAATATATTATAAGACCATTGCATGTAACTACATTCACAAGATTGAATTAAATATGTCTTGTAATTGTATTATTCCATTAAACTAGAGGCTTAGAGAACTCTCAAGAGAATTCTACTTAATTTTGTGGTTTGCCATACTCACGGCCTGTGCTGCAGAACTTTTCAGTTTTGAGAAAAAGTCTAATAACCGTGAAGCCATACAAGATCCTTGGAAAGCTGCAAAAACCAGGAAGTTGAAAAAGTAAAAGCTGCCTCATTAAATAGTTTAGACTTTTAACAAAATAAATTTTCAATAAAATTAAAATAAGTTTCTAAAATGCTTTTTAATTCATTCATGGAAAAAATTAGATAAATCTATATAAATATAGTGATAATCTGCTGAATGTTATACAACTGACTTGAAGTAATTTGAGAAGAATACAATGAAAAGAAAACTCAGCTTTTTATCTTACATTAATATGCTGATTTTTTTTAATATTAATTTTATATCTTATAACAAAATTAATTATATATTTTCACATGCTATAAATGATGCCTCCTTTGGCAGAATGAGATGAAAAAGATGTAAATGGGTAAATAAGATTATATATATATATATATATATATATATATATATATATATATATATATATATATATATATATATATATATATATATATATATATGTAATATTAAAGTAATTTATTTACACTAATATAAAAATATTATTTCCAGACTGGGGATTAGGGTATGATTTTCAGCTGTGCTTTCAACAGTCAAAACAGTGTTTGTAACAATTACATTTTGCGTAGTAACTATGTAATTGCAACAGTAGTTGAAAAAAAAACAGGAAATATATTCCTATGTTATTGTTAAACTTTAACTGTGTCTGGGTGGTGTGAAGTATAATAAAATAGTAATATTAAATAAATATGGTATTCTTTTTTGCCCATTTACATCTGCTTCATCTCAAAAGCATCATCTATGTTTTACTAGTTAGGAAAATCAAGACATATAAAAACTTTATTTTCTCTGCTTATTAGTATTGTAAAAAGAGAGGATCTGTCATCATTTAGTTTTTTATGA